GGAGACAATAAATAAAATAAATAATTCTTCAACCTTTATGATAAGGAATTCAACTTTTCGGGGACCAATGCTTCATGCAATCATTCACCAGCGTCGGCTCAGCTCTGCATTACTTTATAGCCGAACTTCGAATCAGAATGTCCACAGCTCGAATCCCGCTGAAACGCAGATGATGTGCAGGGGCGAATTCAAGTCTGCAGGCCAGTCTGAATGAAAACGGCCTTTGGGCTGAGCGCCAGCGTGAACTCTAACGCACAATCAGACCTTCGTTTAACGGTATAGTAAGTGGTATTGTAAGATCTGTCGTCAAAGCGTTACGAAACTAGTGCATATGAACAAATATTTTACAGTATTTTGTATCCTTGAATTCATTTGAAAAGGCCTGAAGAGGGGATTCGTAAATTGACCTCAACTGAAACCGAAGAAAGATGGACTTACAGCGACTACTTCGGATTTGCAGGGAGAGGTCTTTAGTGCGTCACTTAGGCGAGATATCATAAAGTTGCCTGTCACTGCTAAACGCGGATGGATTGGTATTGCAAGATGATGCACCGAGCACTTGTCTTCGCACAAATCTATAGTTACAACAGCCAAATAGGCCTTGGGTTTCTGGTGAGGCCGATGGACAAATCCCTTCCACGGCCTTTTGAAATGAAGCGAAGAATGGACCAAGATGAAATCATCAAGAGATCATAAAAGATCCATTTTCTGTTCAAAAGTGCATGGAATGCCTGCGGTGGAGTACGGATCGGGGCGAAACAAACAAGCAGGCCTGGGTCACCCGGAACGAGTGCTCACAGTTTGGAAGCCTCAGACGGAGGCTGAACCGACCCGGCCTAGTCGCCAGCCACTCCACCCTGACCGCTCGTCTCTCGGGCAGCAGGACAAGGCTGGTGTGTATCAGCTGGGCTCGAAGCACCCTGTAGGACCGCTGACTCGGCTCCGCCAGGTCCTTCATCTCCGAAGTCAGCCTAGCCTTGTCTCGAGGGCGCCTAGAACGCTTATCCACCTCCCCCTCCTCCTCGTCGTCTTCGTCGCTGCCGTCGCCAGACAGGGCTCTACTCACCGGCCTGGTCGGGTTGGTGGGAAAAGTGGTAGTCTGTGTTGCCACCTTAGCGCCCGAGTACTCGGTCTGCCGAGCAAGGCCGACCGATCGAGTATGACTGGCGTCCACCAGTCTCGGCGACAGAACGGACGACTTCATCCTGCGACCCAGCTCGACGACTCCGTTCTCCTCCTCCACCGTCTCAGCCCTCAAGATGGCGGCCGAGTCTGCCGGTGCACCCTCGTGGCCTGAGAACCAGTTGACCTGCTTGACACTGGTCCGGAGACGCAGACGAGCCAACCCGCGACAGCCAACCAAGTAGACCAGATAGGCGGCCTGAAGTGATAGACGAGGTAAGGCGCCCAGTCGGTGCAAAACAAAGAGAAGCAGGCTGGAGCAGTGAATTTACAGGCTTCACAAAAATGGTATCTCAAGAGCTTCATAGTAACCTAGTTAATTCAGAAACTAGGCTGAACCAAGTTATTTTTACCCCAACGAGACCCCAAGTTAGTCTCGAAATATACTAACTTGGCATAGAACTTAAGTCTTCAAAACCCCGATAGACTGATCGTTTGAAAAAAAAACAATTACCTAGACTAGCAAGTACTCACCTTTTCGCCTAGGAGGACCTCGCTTTTGTAGGGTGCG